CCACTCGAAAACTTTTGGATTTTTGATTTGGCTGAAATTTTGATATGTTATAGTATCCATCGCAAGAAGCTACCATGATTTTTTTCGAATTTTTTTTATCAACATAGTCATGAGATATAAATTTTTTTCAAAATTCGCATTTTTTTTAAATCTAGAGAACAAAACACAATTTATATAAAAAAAAAAAAACGTTTTATTTGGATTATTTTTCACAAAGTTATGGTAGCTTCTTGCGATAGGTACTCTAATATATCAAAATTTCAGCCAAATAAAAAATCTGCTCTGTGAAGTCGGCACGCCTAAATGCGAATTTTGGTCAAATCATTATTGCATTCGTTTGTCCACTGTTTATCCACGTTTTAAATCCATATTTTCGTTATACATATGTCCGCTTTAAAAAGGAGGCGGGAGAGAGTATACGTGTGTATATGTTTAAATATTATACATAAAAATACAATTTTTATGTAGGTATGTGTGAACATATATACACATATATACAAAAATTTTCACTTTCGCGTTTTTGCCTTAGGAAAGAAGTATTACATAATCGATACCCAGTATATAACCATTTAACATAGTATGCGAAAACATTGTAGATGTCGCTAATAACACAACTACAGGTTTACATAGAAATAGTCTTTAAAAACTCAATACAAAATACATTCTAATGTATTAATAAAGACTTAAATCCTTAAACTTAATAGAAACATATACTTTATATTTTATTATAGATTCGACAAGGCACATCACAGATTATTACTTAATTGCTGGTTAACTGAATATATTGCAGGACAAACTGTATTACACCTAGTTCCCTGCTATTAGTTGCGAAAACCGGCTAAAGAAATTAAGTCAATAAATTATTTTATTTTTATAGATTTTTACAGATTTTATAGATTGGATCAGAGAGAAACCTGAGAGAGGACATAAAGGCTTTTTTCTGTTACTGCAAAATGCTGCCGCGCATTACTACCCTTTGAAAAAAAATGGATGTAAACTACACAACAATATCTATCTTTTTACGGCACTGCTGATGGAAATAAATCGCTGAAACCGTTAAAATCTTTATTAATTTGATAGATTTAAGTTATTTTAACGATTTCGGCGATTTATTTCCATCAGGAACGTTGTAAAAAGTGGATATTGTTGTGTAGTTTACATCCATTTCTTCAGAGGGCAGTAATTCGCAAGGCATTTTGCAGTTACAGGTAAAAAGTCTTATGTCCTCTTTTAGGTTTTTCTCTGACTGGATACAGACAAAACTTAAGATCATTATTATAATACATGTATATTTAATTTACAGTCAAAAATATATTCTGTTATGATTTGGGTTGTTTTAATTTTCAGTCTTTTAAGTATTTCCTTAATATGTATCGGAGTTTGTATTTTTAATTTTTTATCCATAGTAAATTTCTCAACCATAGTTTTTCTTTTCTTACAAAACTTGGAGCATGGTTTATGTCCTTATTGCATGAATATATTATAGATCACTATTTGTTATATAAAAAATGAAAAGATTACTTTTGAGTGAATTATATGACCACAACGTAAATGATTAATAGAAACTATAGCTTTCCTATTCAAATCATGTTTGAAGAACCGTGTGCCGGAGTTAGAATAACGATTGAAATAGAAGATATATATATATATACTTTTTACCTTGATTCCGGACTTTGTATTTCAAAAATGAGTTATTGTTCCTTTTGCATTTAAATATATTATTTAAATCTGAAGACGGTAGGCTCTGTTCCAGAAGGAACCCTGCATGGGCAGCTCTTTTAGCTATAGATACAATTAGCATTTTCGTTCCCTCAGATATTCAAGTTCGTCGGTTTCGCGGACACTATAACGTGGCGCTATCTGACAGCATCTCAACGAATGATTTTCTAGTTGAATGTAACTGTAGACTGACCTTGGATGCTTCCGATAACTTGAACTTCGAGTTAGTTCGAGTTAGTTCCACTAGGACCGAAAAATATGATGGACATGACCATCTAGTACTTCATGATTCATGATAATTCAATATCGTCTCGTATGCCATGAGCTGAGTTCAGTT